CTTGCCTATGTCTTCACTAAAGAATACACTTCTTATCGGACGATCAAGAAGAACCCAGATCATCTGTTCAACCTGCGCAAGAAGCCCGACGAATCCATTCGAGATTACATCAAGAGGTTCAAAGCAGAAAAGGCCAACATCGTAGGGTGCGACGACCAAATCGCATCATCTGCCTTCAAGAAAGGTCTTCCAGCAGAACACGAGTTATACCGCGAGCTGACTATCACTCCCAGCCAGACTTTAGCAGAGGTCTTCGCGACCGCAGAACGCTACGCGCTCTGGGATGACGATCGAATTGCCGCGAAGAAGTCCACTGAGCAGGGAGATCAGCAGACCAAGCGGGCGGGCCAAAGAAGCGATGGATTTAGCAACAAGAACAAGGACAAGCGCAGGTCACACCCACAAGAGGACGCTAAGGCAGGAGAGAACTACACCAAGTTCACTATCCCTATACATCAAATCCTAGCCCAAGTGAAAAACAAACCTTGGGTAAGAAGGCCGCCACCCTTGAAAGGAGATCCAGACAGGAGGGATACTAGCAAATACTGTGCCTTCCATGGGACGCATGGACACACTACGAACAACTGCTTCGCTTGGAAAGCACACCTCGAAGAACTCGTGAAGGAAGGTCACTGCACAGAATTCATCGCTAAGCAGGCCATCCAACAGATAGAGGACCGCGACACCACCAAGAAGCCGCCCCAAAAGGTCATAAGGATTAACACAATCCTAGCCGACTCCGAGGAATCTGGGTTGACCAGCAAGGAAAAAAAAGGAAGATCAAACAAGCCAATATGATCTCCCAAGTCTCAACCGACATTCCGCTAGCAGAAGACGACCCTATAATCGGCTTCCAAAAGAAAGATCTAATTGGCCTTGATCTACCACACAATGACGCTCTTGTCATCAGCATTCAAATCGCTCAGGCCATGGTCGGCCGAATCCATGCAGACGAGGGCAGTGCGGCCAACATCCTACAATTGACAGTTATCCAACAGATGGGCTTAGAGGCAAAGATCAATAAATCAGCCAAGTCACTGACTGGTTTCAATGGAGCAACAACGGTTACCGTGGGCACGATAGAGCTCGACGTCTACGCCCCACCTGTAATCAGCTCTCAAACGTTCATGGTCATTGATGAAGTCTCACCCTACAATGGCATTCTAGGCAGACCATGGATCAGCAAGATCAATGCCATCACCTCCGCCACGCATCAGAAGATTCGCTACCCAATTCCTTTGGGTGGGATCGGCCAAATCGACAGCGATCAGGCGATGGCGAGGAAATGCTCAGCTCAAGGGCTGAAGAAAGGCAAGCAAACACAGTTCCTCCCTGTGAATCAAGCAGATCTAAAGGGAGTAGAACAAGCAGATGAGGAAGCAAATCCCGTTCCTGACGGCCGAGCAGGCCAAAAAGGAAAGGGAATAACTACTCCCCAATAGCAATCAAAGAATCAGGACCAAGTTGAGGGAATCCGTCCGGAGGTCTATCCTGAAGAAGGATGGAAGCCCGAGGAGGACGTTGAGCTAGTACCCCTTGATCCTGACAAGCCAGAGAGAACAGCGCGGATCGGCTCGCGCCTAAGCCAGGAGGAAAAGGCAGAGCTTGTAGCCTTCCTCCAGAACAACAAAGACGTATTTGCATGGTCACCATCTGACATGCCTGGCATCGATCCCCAGATCATCTGCCATCGCCTACACGTCAACCCAGCCATCAAGCCTGTAGCGCAGAAGAGACGCAACTTCGCCCCCGAGCGAGTCGCCATCATTGAAGCCGAGATCGACAAGCTTCTAGTTGCCGGTTTCATTGAAGAAGTCTCATACGCAGAATGGCTGGCGAACGTTGTTCTAGTAGCAAAGAAAGATAAAGGCCTGTGGAGAGTGTGCGTCGACTATACTGACCTCAACAAGGCATGTCCTAAAGATAACTTTCCACTGCCGAGAATTGACCAGCTCGTCGATTCAACTTCCGGCAATCAACTGCTAAGCTTCATGGACGCCTACTCCGGTTACAACCAGATCATGATGCATGAAGACGACAAGGCAAAGACCTCTTTCATCATCGAAAGAGGTACCTACTGCTACAAGGTCATGCCCTTTGGGCTGAAGAACGCCGGAGCAACCTACCAAAGGCTGGTGAATAAAATTTTCAAGGAGCAAATTGGCAAGACTATGGAGGTCTACGTAGACGACATGCTAGTCAAAGCTCCCGAGCGAGCAGACCACATCGAGAATCTTGCCGAGGCATTCAGCATACTCCGAAAATACAACATGAAGTTGAACCCGAGCAAATGCACATTTGGAGTCTCGTCCGGCCGATTCCTTGGATACTTAGTCACCCAAAGAGGAATTGAGGCACATCCAAATCAAATCAAGGCTATACTCAACATGAAGTCACCTGCCACAACAAAGGAGATACAAAGTCTAACGGGTAGGGCGGCAGCTCTCAACCGATTCCTCTCTAGATCTACCGACAAATGCAGGCCATTTTTCAAAGCCTTGAAGAAGGGACACAAGGATAAGTGGGATGACGAGTGTGAAGTGGCTTTTCAAAACTTGAAAACTTACCTCACTTCACCTCCATTACTCTCAAAGCCGATGCCAGGCGAAGACTTGTACATCTACCTAGCGGTGTCCGACTCAGCTGTCAGCTCAGCTCTCATCCGAGAAGAGTTGGGGGCACAACATCCGGTATTCTACACTTCAAAAGCTCTCCTCGATGCAGAGACTCGCTATCCGAAAATGGAGAAGCTCATTTTTTCGCTTGTGGTTTCTGCGAGAAAGTTAAGGCCATACTATCAAGCACACCAGATAATTGTCATAACAGAATTTCCTTTGAGATCGATCCTTCACAGCCCCGACGCTTCTCAGCGACTCATGAAATGGGCTATCGAACTCAGTCAATACGACCTCCTCTACCGGCCGAGGACTGCTATAAAAGCCCAAGCTTTAGCAGATTTTGTTGTAGAGTTTACTCCGACAGCCGAAGAAGAGAAGATTGTCACGAAAAGCAAGGAAAAACCGGACGACACCTCCCCCACCGATTCGACCCTACCTAACGACATGTGGCAGTTGCATGTAGACGGAGCATCAAATCACAAAGGAGCGGGAGCAGGAGTCGTCATAATCACCCCAGACGGAACCTTGTTGGAACAAGCTATCACACTAGCTTTTCTGCTTCAAACAACGAGGCAGAATATGAGGCACTGCTTGCAGGACTACGCCTAGCGAAAGAACTGTCGATCAAGAGACTGGCCATCTACTCAGACTCCCAACTGATCACGAATCAAGCCTCAGGCGAGTACATGGCAAAGCATCCAAGAATGGTCCAGTACCTCGACAAAGTCCAAGGACTTTTGAAAGAATTCCCTACTTTCACCATCCAACAAATTCCACGGGCAGAGAACACTCATGCAGATGCGTTGGCGAGCCTAGGATCAGCACTGGACACCCAATTCAGACGCTCCATCCCAGTTGAACACCTTGACCGGCCAAGCATCGAAGAAATAGAGCCGATCGACTCAATGCAGATTGATGAGGACCCCAGCTGACAAGACCCCATCATCGACTACTTGGTGAATGGAAACCTGCCAACGGATAAGTCCAAAGCTAGGAAGGTCCAGCAGAAGGCCGCGAGATACTATATGCACGGCAGCAAGCTCATCCGTAGATCATACTCCGGCCCTCATCTCACCTGCATAAAGTACCCTCAAACACTTGAAGTCCTCTGCAAAATTCACGATGGCGAGTGTGGCAACCACTCAGGGGGCAGGTCACTCGCCCAGAAAACTCTGAACGTAGGCTATTTCTGGCCTACCATGCGCCACGATTCTGCTGAATATGTCAAAAGATGTGATCGTTGCCAACGATACAAGCCGATCCCTAATCTGCCTGCCGAAGTTTACCATCCGCAAAACAGTCCATGGTCATTCATGCAATGGGCCATCGACTTAGTGGGTCCCTTGCCACCGGCGCCTGCCAAGAAAGAAATGATGATCGTCGCCACCGACTACTTTACTAAATGGATCGAGGCCGAAGCTCTATCCTCTACTAAAGAAGCCGATGTGGAGCGATTCATCTGGAGAAATATCATCTACCCACAAAACACAACAGTTGTCCATAAGCAGCGTCCTTCCGGAGACGCAGGGCAACGACCAGAAGTGTCCTTCGGGAGACGCAGCCCATAAAAAGCGTCCTAAGGGAGACGCAGGGTGCGCCAGGAATTTCCTAAGGGAGGTATCCAGGTTCCTATCCGTTCCCTAAGGGGGGCAGGATAGTCATATAGTTGCCCATAAGGAGCGTCCTAAGGGAGACGCAGGGCGACGACTAAAAGCGTCCGTTTGGAGACGCAGCCCACTAAAAAAGCGTCCTAAGGGAGACGCAGGGTGCGCCAGGAATTTCTTAAAAGGAGGTCTCCATGCCTCCTGCGGGAAGTATCCAGGTTCCTATCCGTTTCCTAAGGGAGGCAGGATAGTCATACAGTTGCCCATAAAGAGCGTCCTAAGGGAGACGCAGGGCGACGACTAAAAGCGTCCGTTTGGAGACGCAGCCCACTAAAAAAGCGTCCTAAGGGAGACGCAGGGTGCGCCAGGAATTTCTTAAAAGGAGGTCTCCATGCCTCTTGCGGGAAGTATCCAGGTTCCTATCCGTTTCCTAAGGGGGGCAGGATAGTCACACAGTTGCCCATAAGCAGCGTCCTTCGGGAGACGCAGGGCGACGACCAAGCCAACCTAAGAGATATGCAGAACACGTCCGAAGTCCTTCAAGAGGAACCCTGACACTCATGAATCTCCAAAAGGAGATGTGCAATCAAGACACTAGCCGGTTACTCAAGCAGTTCACAAGACAATATGCAAATTGAAGTTGAAAAATAAAGACTGAAATTTTCATAGCAAAGCGACCAACCGGCCAAGTTCAAACAAAAGAAGATGGTCAAACAAGACCAATTATTCTAAACAAAAGCAGACTACAAAAGTTGAAAAGAAATAAAGGAGTCTTCGTCTACTCCGAAGCGCCAGCAGGAGATCCCTGATTTACAACCTCTTTAGCGTCCGCCTGAACAGCCACGCTTTCAGCAGCTCCACATGCCTGATCTATGACGTCTGCCACCACCTCATCGGCTGCATCCTCCTCTGCTCCATCCTCCTCAGCTATCGCCTCTTTAGTCACCTGCTCTTCAGCTCCTTCGATGTTCACAGCATTAGCCTTCTCACTTTGCGCAGGGGGCAAGTCTGGATAGAGCATCTCGATGTCTTCATCTCCAATGGCGTAGAAGGGATCATATCCTCTTGTGCAGTCCAGGTAGCCCAACTTGTACGCGTCCATGGCAACTTCGGACTTGGATTCCTCAGCAGACTCATGGTAGGCGTGAAGTCTAGCTAAAAGCTTGTCATAGCTATGAGAGATGTCGGCATTCTTGCGCTCAAGGTGGAAATAAGCATCTTTTCGACTTGCCAAGTCAGCAGCAGAAGAGTTAAGCTCGGAATCCTTCTCAGCAAGGGAGCTCTTCAACTCAGATATCATCGCCCGCAAATCAGACGTCTTTTTCTCATAACGGGTCTGCTCGGCGGAAAGTTTGCTAACTAACTCGGCATTCTTCTTCTCCAACTCGCTGAGCTGAACAGAAGATGGGGCAACAGCAGACGAGTTCCGAATGGTCTCAGCAGCAAAAACTATTCCCTTTTGAAGCAGATGAAGTGTCGCTTCCTTTTGCTTTTCCAAGGAAAGACTTGAAAAAGTACCAAGATCGCCAGCCTGACGGATTTGGTCAACCAGCTCAGCACAAGAGGATGGACTTGATAGAAATTGCGTCTTTAGCAGATCAGACACGCCTGCATCCCCTGCAGGGCTAGATTTGTCCACCTTTGGATCAGTCGCTGACGTTGCAGAAGAACCTTTTGTCCGGGCAGATGACTCTCTTGCTTTCCTAGCCTCCGCCAACCTCACTTCCAAAGGAATTTGCGACGTCAAATCAACTCCATGCTTGACTGCTCATGACTCAACAGTTGAAACATGATGGTTGGATGGATGAGCAGACTGCCCAGATCGACTTCCAATCTTCGACTGGTACAAACGACTCGAATTTCGAAAAGGAGCATCCGCATCTCTTTGCCTCTCAACAAGTGAGCTAGATCGTGCACGGACTACTTTACTGAGCATATCACGATCTCCAAACTCATCAGGCTTGAGCTCTCAAAGACTTGACATCAGCCTTCCTTTTTTAGGGGAGTTTAGCAAAACACTCCTCATGTCCAGCAGGCAGATCATCAAGGCTCGGACCATCCTGCTTCCATCTATCGACATCCTTAGCAGGGGGTAGTCCACCAACTTCCTCCTAATCGTTGCTCAGCAGCCGCCAGCAGCCACCGCCGCTCCAATCGTCTTTGGCGACCAGTAACGATGACAACCAACCTGGTCCCACCCAACTGGTCCTCGCCTTGAAAAAAAGAAGACGAAGGAAAATTTACGTGCTCGACTTACTTTGGGATGCACGGCAACTCCTCTCTTCGAAAAGCAGTACAAAATTCTCCAAGATCTTTCTCAAGCTAGAAAGTAGAGAAGTTAAGTTTGCGATGTAAGAAAGAGTGAAGAGAAGCCCTGTATTTATACAAGTTGGACAACCCGGGTCAAGAAGGAATCTCAAGCTCTTTCCTACTGGGAATCCAACTCCAACAACAGTCAGAAGCCTACACCAATTGAGAATCCGATCTGCAAAAGGAGTCCAACTCACAGAAGAAAGCCCAGACTCAGTTGGAGAGCCCGAAAAAAAATAATTTCATCTCCTACATGCCACACAAGCGCCATGCAGAAGCTGGGGGGCATTTGTGGGAGCAAATATTTTCGTCTCCAATCACAGCGCGCCACGTGGAAAAGAAGATTATCTCTTTTAATTAATTAATTGAACCAGTTTATCTGGCCAATTAATTAATTGGGATAAATATCTTAATTAACATGATATTATCTTTATTTAATAAGATAATATCATTAATTAAGATATTATCCTATTAAAGAGAAGATAATGTCATTATCTCATATATTATCTTCATAAAAAGAGATAATATCATTTAATTCAGATATTATCTCCATAAAAAGAGATAATATCATTAAATTAGATATTATCTCAGTCCGACTCGATCCCTACGAATTTGGGTAGAGAATAAACTCAGCATATTCTCTACGAAACCCTAGCCCCGAGGCTCCTATAAATAGATGACTTCATTCATCATTCAAGGTACATCTAAACCTACTCCTTATACCCGAGAAAAATACCCGAAGCTCTCTCTTTCTCCCTCTCCACTCTCCATATTTTCTCCACACGGCTCCGGCCACCACACACGGCTCCGGCCGCCCGGTTCACACTCTACATAAACACTACTCTGTACCCTTTGCTTAGCTATTGTTTTCTACAAACACTCGAACTAACTTAGGCATCGGAGGGCCTTTGGCCAACACCCCCCGGGTGTGGTCTATTTACTCAAATCTGTTTTACAGGAATCGAGGAAGAGAGAGAAGGAAGATCGAAGGTTGAAGGATCTAGAAGCGAATATTCTCTCGTGAGATTATTTGCACAAACACCTATGGACACTCACAAGGTGTTCACAGCACTTGTACAGTGGGGTTCTTGCAGAAGCTCATCTGTAATTCACAACAGAGAGGTCCTTCTGAGAGCTCTCTTTGTGTGATTTCTTGAGATTTCTCTAACAGCAGAGACATGGTTTCTTCAATTATTTTTCGAGAACGATGAATTTCTTTTGTCTGCAGTAGTCTCATGAGATTTCTTTGACAGAGAGGACGTGGAGGAATGTCGCAGTGCACATTTTCTAAGCCTTTATGGCAGACAACATTGGAAGGGGACTTTGCTGATCCAATTCTAGAGAGCTTGATATGAGAGCTATTTGTTGCTTTCATAGAGAAATGTGTTTTCAAGATGTCAGCATCCACGCGGAACTCATGATCTACCATTTACAGAGGCTTGTTTTTTAGCAGCAAGGGAATATACTACACAGAGAAACATGATGAAATTTTCTGGCAGAAGAAATAAACTTTATACCTTGCCTTTCTTCTGCCTTTTCTTTCTCTTCTTCCTTATTCAGAATCCCAGCAGCCTCTTCGTTTTCTCTCCAGACTTCTGCCTTCTGTTTTCCTTTCTTTTTCTCTTCTCCTGTCCTCCTTCCTTGCCTCCTTTGGTCCCTTTTTATAGACCTAGAGGAACTGACAGAGTGGGATCAGTTAAGGCCTCACGTACTGTGTGGGTGGGAGTAACTTCCCATTATAGTCACCCCCTCAACTCCACACTTCACGTACATGAAACTGTTTCTGCTTTCAATATATATTAATATTTCCTTGTAAAAATATCAATATTAATTCATTTGGGCCTAAACCAATTTACCAACAAGTCCACAAAACCATTTAGCTATGAGCCCAACTTCTTTAAACTTGGGCTAGCATTTAATTTGCTGTCAATGAATTTTTTTATTTCAACAATAACATAATATGTCAATTACCAAATATGACCGGTGATACTTCAATTCTACCTCTTCATTTTTCGAGAAAAAAAACTCAAACCTCAATAAAAAATAGGGTAATGCTAGGGAAACCATCTATTTGTACCATATTTGTGTACCAACTGATGTGGCTGTTGAGTTGTCGATACCACATCATTAAATGAGTTTTTAATATTTAATTATTTTTTACCTTTCACTTTACAGACTCATTTAAATCATATTAAAATCATTAAATTTTTAAAAAAAATCTCTTCTCTCTCCTCCTACCTCCTACCCAGCCAACCCTCCCTCCCTACTCAACCCCACCTTTCAGCCACCCCTCTCCTGTCGCCCATCCTTCCCTCAGCCATACACCAGTCATTGAGTTTGTCAGATTCTCATTGCAGGTCCCAAATCTTGAAATGGGCATTTTTGATTGGATATTGTTAATTTATTTTTACCATTATTTCACACATTTCTAGAAATCATTCAAGTGCAGTCAAGTTTTGAGTTTTATTGATATTATGAGTTTGTAACCCAGGACCTGAAATGGGTTTTTGATATCTGATCTTGGACATTCTGCAAATTTGGAAACAAACAAACCGAAGTTGTGTTTTATCTTTTTTTGCTGTGAGGCTGGTTTTTGTTTAGTGGCGGTGTGTTTGGTTTGGGTATACGTCCATCTTTGCACTGGAGCTTGAAGGAGAAAGGTTCCTGCCCTTAGTGTCCTTGTGATTGTTCAAAAGATTTCGACCTTATACCTGTAGGTGAGATTCACTTTTCAATGTTTGGGAAATTTGGTGTATGGTTGAGGGTAGGTACATGTACAAGAGTATGGCTGAGGGAAGGATGGGCAACGGGAGAGGGGTGGCTGAAAGGTGAGGTTCAGTGGCGAAGCCAGGATTTCATGTGTGTGGGGGCCTCTTACAAAATATAAAGAATCAAAAATTCGAACTCATAATACAAAAAATAGTGTATATATATCACATATGTCAAGAATTATATCGCTTATTGATTGCAATCATAATTGTTCTCGATAAAGGGATAGACAAATACATTCTAAGCAAGAAAAATGCAAGAGATAGACAAAGAGTAGTGATTTAGCAAATATCTTTAAAGATTTTTCCCCATTAAATCCAATAGAAAGGAAAAAAAAAATCAAAATTTCCCAAATTAAAAACAACCTTAGGCCCCTTTATGCATTCATATCATACATGAAAAAATATTGACTAAGTATGAAAAATAGTTTTTTGGAATAATCATTTTCTCAAGATAATTTTTGGCGGCTTTTATTCCTAACACATGAAATAAGAAAACTTGATTTTATGGGATTTTAGTATGAAGTATATATTGACTTAATGAGCCATCATTTTTAGCCTAAATCGTATTTTACACTAAAACCGATTTTTTATATTTTGACTTGGTGAGTATTTGATTTTCTAGTATTTTTATTTGAATTCAAATAGGGGGTACTTCCTTATTTACATTGTAAACTTAAGTAAATGGAGTAATATAAAAATAAATTAAAGTCCAAGGACAAAGACATTTACTTAAATGTTGAAAATGGAAATAAGGTAATCTGTACACTTGGAGTGCATCACCACTATCTAAGCAAGGGTGCAATTTGAACTACCTCCTTGTGCCTTAATAAGTCCGCTACAATACATGTGGGTACATATCAAAATATAAAGTATTTGAAATAATATACATATACAAATACATAACAGTATATTACTTTTAAAATATAAAAAAACTTGAGTAGGGGCCCGGGACCACACTGGTCCCAGTGTGGCTCCGCCCCTGATGAGGTTGAGGAAAGAGGAAGATAGGGTTGGCTGGGTAGGAGGTAGGAGAAGAGAGCGGAGATTGTTTTTTAATTTTTTTTTAATGATTTTAATATGATTTAAATGAGTATGTAAAGTGAAAAGTAAAAAAAATATTAAAATATTAAAATATTAAAAATATTAAAAATATTAAAAACTTACTTAATGATGTGGCATAGCCAACTCAACAGCCACATCAGTTAGTACACAAATATGGTATAAATAGATGGTCTCCCTAGCATTACCCTAAAAAATAATACTAAAAAAATTACGATGTTAAATCATAAACAATGTCAAAAATTAAAATGAAACTATAAAATTAATTAAATCAAAATAAAATAAAATAGCAGAAAATGAATAACTAAATTTTTTATATAATAAAACCATGACACTTGGAAATTTTTGCATTGAAGTATCACCAGCTAACATGATGCTATGATATCATGCATTAATTTTTGGAAGTATAGAAGATTTTGTCAATTATGATGGAAATGTATGGATACTGAAACAAGCAAACGAAACTTACCTAGGTCTGCAAGAATTATGATACTAAACATCATGAGAGAGAAAAAGTAGGATGTAGGACTCTTAACCATGGCTTTGCAAACTTGAGAAAAATAAGTAATGACAACTAGAGTATTTATAAGTAAGGTTCCCTTGTAATAATACTTCACTAATAAGCTTATTGTTTTACCTCCACAAAGTGAAAATGTTTCAAAGTTTTTAAAGCTACCTCTAAAAATTAATAAAATTTAAATAGAATTTAGGGTAATAAATAATTCAATATGTTTCTATTCTTCTCGTAAGGAGGTATTTATAATGATGCAAATACAAGTCTTTCTAGGAAGTAATTACAATAAAGAAAAAAGAAATAAAGTCGTATAACTAAACAAATCAAATATTAGTATCGCATGCTTGGAAAATCCGAACAATCCTAAGGCATTCATAAAGCAATACAACAACTAAATAATACTTTAAAAAAAAAAACCCAATTTAGAAAGCAAGAGACCACACACATACACCTTTGCTCCATTTGGTCTCCACCAAGGCGACAGAGCCGACAAAGTTCACTCTCTAAATCAACTGGGCCCGCGGGGTCCACAACTTCGATTTCCAATCTGATAGTTTGTAATGGTCTACTATAGTAAACTAAACTCGCCATAGGAGTTTCGTCACAATCCGATGGTTTGAACCTACCAAATCCGACAACACCTATTAGGCGGAATATCCGATTGTGGATCAAACAATCGAGTCTACCTATCTGAGCATACTGTTGTGCTTAGGATGATGTGAGGATCATTATGAGTCCAAAACATATCACCAACAGACCATGGCTTTGGCTACATTTGATTTGGTTTGGGTTTTAGTTGGGAGATTTGAGATTTTGGCACTGAGCATTGGGCAAACTGGAGAGCATGCAAATTGTATGGCTTGATGGTTTTTTTTTTAAGGGTTAATTTTTTTTTAATTATTTTTTTTGTCAAAGGGTTAATTTTGGTTGGTATCTTGAACTCTCACCTTTATGGTGTGTTTATCCTTGCACTCTCAATTTTAACAATAAAGTACCATATGTTTGTAAATTTGTTGAAAGTGGTTTTGCCGTTAGAATGACTGTTAAATAATCTGTGAAGTGATGACATGGCAAACGTGAGACTCACTTCTTTACACTTAAATTATTAAAATATGAATAAAATATTAAAACCCAATTAAAAATTATATATAAAAAAAATATTATGAAATTGAAGGGGAAAAAAACCAAAAACCAAAACCCTAGACCCATCACCCCCCCTCCCGACGTTTCTCTTCTCCTATGACCCATTGCCCCCTTGCCATGATTGAATTTGGCTTCGTTGCGCCCTAAATCAATAGAAAAGCTTATTGATTTAATCCATCCCATTTCATTTGGGTGAGTGGGAGGCTGTGAGTCACCTTGGTTTATGAGAAGGACCCCTTCCCCCTTTGGAGTTGCTGCTTCCTTCAGCCCCAAACCGGCAGAACCCACCTGCAACCCTCCATCCCCGATTACTTTTCCCCCATGACAACTACCCACATATGCAAACAATGTTCAATTTTTTTTTCAATTTGTTGGTTTTTGAGGATGGAGAGGGAGATATGTAGACAGAGAAATGGTGGCAGTGAAGTCATTGGGGTCGAACGACCCCATGGAAACCATGGAAATAGGCTTGGGAGTCCACCTGAGCTAGTTGTGTGATGCCAGGGAATGCCCTCCAAGTGCTTGACCTTTGGCTTGAAAGAGGAAGAAGAAGAAGCTAGTGTCTTTTTATTTTTTATATTTAAAAACTTCATGAGCAAAAGGACGTCGTTTTGGCC